TTATTATTCATATACAATTTAATTTTGATAATAATAGTATTAGTATTAATGATAATAGTAGTGCTATCCAAGAAATGATAGTGATAATGATAACAATCTTAATAACAATATTCATGACAGTAATGATGATAATAATGACAGTGATAATAAGAAAATAATTATAATAGTAATAATAGTAATGATTAATATAATGATAGTAACAATGATAATGATAATAAGAGTTATGATAATATTAATGATGATAATAATGATAATGATAATCATGAAAATAAAATTAATCATTTTGATAATGGTGATGGTAATGCTAATGACAAAAAATAAATATAATGATAATGATAAAGATGATAATAATAGTGATAATTGATATTACTATCATTATGAATATTGTTGTTATTGATCTTGTCATTATTATTATTAGTATTAGTATTATTGTTATTATTTTTAATATAGTCATTATTATTGTTAAAGTTATTATTATTGTTGTTGTTATCATTGATATTATTATTATTACTGTTATTATTATTATTATTATAATTATTATTATTATTATTATTATTATTATTATTATTATTATTATTATTGATGTTATTATTATTAGTGATATTGTTTTAGAATTGCTATCATTATCACTCTTATTTTTTATATTATCATTGTTATGATTTTTATTGTTAACATTATTTTTATTGCTATTATTAAAAACAATATAGACATCAATAATGGCATTGTTATTATTATTTTATTGTTATTTTTCATTAATATTATTATTATTATTATTATTATTATTATTATTTATTATTATATTATATTATTATTATTCATTATATATTATTATTAGTAGTAGTAGTTGTAATAGTATTGTCATATTATCATTATCATCATCATTGTCACTATTAATGTTTTTTGTCATTGTTATTGCTTTTGTTATTATTATTACTATTATTGTTATTATTTTTATTGTTGTTATTTATTATTATTATTATTATTATTTATTATTTATTATTTATTATTATTATTATTATTATTATTATTATTATTATTATTATTATTATTATTATTATTATTATTATTAATATTATTATTATTATTATTAATTATTATTATCATTGTTGTTATTATTATCATATCATTATTATTATTATATTTATTTATTATTATTATCATTATTATTATTATTATTATTTATTATTATTTATTTATTATTATTATTATTATTATTATTATTATTATTTATTATATTATTATTATTATTATTATTATTATTATTATTATTGTTATTATTATTATTAATAGTATCATTGTTATTAATACATTATTGATATCATTATTATTGTTATAATTGTTACTGTTATTTCATTGTTATTATTATTGTTGTTGTTATTCATAATTATTGTTATTATTTAACATTGATATTGTTGTTATTGTTAATATTGTCCCTATCATTATTGTCTTTTTGGGATAACAAACAACAAAAATCAGGACCATCAGCTGAATTTCAGGAATTCTATTATACTGATGCAGTGTATAAGCTTAATGAATGTTATTCCTGTGTGAAAGTTAAGGAAATTAATGCTAATATACCCCTACTTTAGTTTAATATTCTTGTACAGCTTTGCAGGAAAAAAAAGTTAAACATAATGTACATTTCAGAGGGATGACTTGGCCAGAAGAGGTAAATAGACGTTGCTGATGCTAGGGGGCTATTGGGTTGGCCATGAATATTCCTCGAAAATCTCTAGTTGTAGTGTTTGTTTCCTGAATTATGCTGTTTGTAATGCTGTGAGAGACTACCACAGGGACAAGGGAAACAGAAAATACATGATGTTTCTGAATTTCTTTGAACAGAGGTATCAAAATCAGACTAGGATTTTTTTCATATAGTAAAATCTTGAAACGAACAGCCTTATTTAGTGAAACTCTTTTGCACAGGAACAGGGCAGCATGGAGGAAGACGAGAATATTTGTGGTCAGATGAAGCAACAGAGAAACTGGTAATGATGGTGAAGGAAAATTACGCGAAGGTTATAGGGGGAAGAGATGCAAGGGAAGAAGTCTTTCGTGAGATCACCAAAAAACTTGTGGAATATGTAAGTGTAGTGGGTGTTGATACTTGTTCTCTGTTGTATTTTCCTTTGTGAATATCATGTTTTCTTGCAAATTATAGATCTGATTTTTATTGTATTTTCTTCTCTATTGATGTTCTTTTTCCTCTTTTTCATCTTCTGATCCCTTTTTAATTTTGATTTTAGAATGAAAAGGTTATGGGATGTGCCATTTACTTGTACTTTTTTTTTCTTTTCTTTTTTTTTTTCTTTTCTTTTCTTTTTTTGAAGTTGACATTTTTCCTTAAACGAAGAACTAGTAAAATAATCCTTTATTCATAAACTATTTGACTGCATTTTCTTTTAGCCATAAATAGTTTTTTTTTTTGCATACATATCCCATTGTTACTCATTTAATTTTTCTTTCATTAGATGAGTATGGATAATGATTTGAAGAATTTTAAACCAATGTATAATTTTTTTTGCTTAATATGATAATACGAATAATGAAAAAGAAGTTGCACATATTACATTTAATGATACTGTATAGATCTGTATTAAATGTTTAGATTTTCATGTTATAACAAGATGAAGTAGAATAGAAAACCATGTAGAAAAGGTATGAATGAGAATGAAGTGTATTTAACCAGGTTCAAATACCATGTATTTCTGACGAAGATATATTTAGAACTGGTTGAATACATATCTAATATTGTGAAGATATGTAGTAATATTCTGTTATTATAACAAACTTTATTCGTACAAGATTTTATAGTAATCTGTTTTGCAAGATAAAGTAAATTAGGATGCCATTAGAGTAATATATAGTGTAGTAATATTCTTATGACTGTTATTTATAGGTACTGTTAAATATCGTATATTTTTTCATATTTGCAAATGACAATAATTTACAGTATGCAGTCTTTTCCAGATTCCAGGCATCACAATCAGACAAGTTCACATGAAATGGAAGAACCTAAAACAGAGATTCAAGAAATACGAACTAAAGAAATCCAAAGATAGATACCGTGTCAAAGAACCTCTTTGCTACAATTTGCTGTGTTCATTTCTTGAAAGACCGACAGTCCCTACATATGATGTGATATGTTGCGATTTTGATGAAGAAGAAGAGGAACTTCTGCAGCAGCACCAAAGACACCAGCTCCAGTTACAGCCCCAGAAACAACGATTGCAGCAACAGCAAGTAGGTATAATTCCCACCATTGAAATGATAGAGGAAATATCGCCCACAGACAGCTGTACTAGAATATCAGAGAAAACCACAGACACCAACAAGAGACGAAAACTGGACAAGCTCACAGCAAGTCAGAGGAGAATGGAGTCATTGTTCAGCGAAGTTCTTAGTGAGATGAAGAAGAACAACTCTGTCATGGAAAGCTTTTTTACCGACTTCAGGAACATTATGAAAAGAAATGAGGAGCATCAACTTGAACTAATCAGAACTCTGAAGGAACGTAATCAAATCCTGAAGCAGGCTGTTCAGAAGTGATATAATCATGTGTATATGGACTCATCTTCATTCACCAGTGCCATCTTCATAGTTCTGTACAGATAGACAATAGTTTTGTCTGAAATAGAATCTCTCTCTCTCTCTCTCTCTCTCTCTCTCTCTCTCTCTCTCTCTCTCTCTCTCTCTCTCTCTCTCTCTCTCTCTCTCTCTCTCTCTCTCTCTCTCTCTCTCTCTCTTACTGTTATATATTATTATATATGAGTTAAATTTTAGTGTACTTGCAGTATTGTTTCACTTATTAAACCAGGATATTGCTGAAAGATTCATTTATTAGTATCAGATTTAATTATTAAAAAATTGATGCTAGTGGCACACAAAAATGTTGATTAACAGAATTTAAAAATATGTTCTTTTGATACGAAGGTGTCTGGCTCAAATACTTTGTAAGTGACCGTTTTTTTGTTACTGATGACAAAGCAAGAAAGATATAGGCCAAGGAAAAATACCCATATGCCAGGTATCAGTAGATCTAGGCCTTATTTTTGTCATAATTATGATTCTTACGACAACATTCTGATAAACTCTGTTTATCAATCTTTTGAAAGGAAGATGAAGACATTCACCTGAATGGGTAGCTGTTTTGTCTAGTTATGCACTCTTTTCTTTTCTTTCTTTCTTCAGAAATTATCACAATTTTGGTTCCTCTAATAATATTCAAGTATATTATTTTGTGCCATTATGCAAAATAGTACTTTTTTAGTTAATCTATATGAAAAGACCTGTGAAAATAGAGAAATTGTGAATTAAAATTTCACAAACTAGTCATAGGGAAGAACAATTATTTACAAATATATGGACATAGTATTTTTTTTCTTTTACTACTTTTTCCTATCAAAAACTGTGATACAGGAAATCCAAGGAAATAAAACATTTCAAGAACCACTTTAATACTGTATTTATTTCTTAAAATCCACAGAATAAAGCATAATCAAAATTATTGGGCAATAACTTGTCCATCTTAGGCTGTGGTTCTCAAACTGCATGCCATGGAACTCTCTCTCAAATGTGCTGTGGAATAAATTTAGCTCTGGAATGTAAATTTGACATCAAAACCATATTTCCAAAGACTGCTAATGCTCACAAAAATTATCTGCTCCTACCATCTGTGGGCACTTTGAGTGCCTGGCAAGGCGATTTGAAAAGTATTTTCCAAATATTTCAGCTAAAAATTATGATTGGCTGAGAAATCTACTTGTTCATGATCCATCAAATAAGCCACAATTTGGCTTGCTTAAGAAGAGGAATTAAGTAATATTTGAAATGACTCCACTGTAAAACTCAACAACTTTGAAATGACATTTGAAACATTTCAGATTCATACAGAGGATGAAATGTCACATATCAAATGGGTCAGAAAATTCTTTTCCAGTTCTTAATCTCACTAGTGCAAACTATAGTTCTCAACATTCACTAACATAAAAACATATTGTTGATATTCAAATACAGTCAAGGATATATGGCATATATATTGTCATATACTTTATTCTCATATAGGAATGTAGTTACACATTATTTGCAGAGTTCTAAATATGCAAACACTTGTTGAAGGCCTACTATACATATATATATGAATGTATTTTCCAAATGTGGTTGTGTCAAAAGTTGGTGTGACATGTATGTCAAATATATTTCTTTAGTGTATCTTCATACAATAAAGTTTGAGAACCACTGGTCCAATGAATGTTTAGAGAGAAAAAAACATTTTGCATAACAGAGAACACTTTTATATTTTCATATTTCTGTCCTTAAGTTTTATTCATGTGTAATCTTTCTGTTATCTGTACATAATATCTTCATTTGTACTTTTTGCTTGCTGTAAATATTTGAAGTAATTTATTGTGGTTAGACTGTAAAAGTTACACATGAATTTATAGATTTCAATAGCAAGATTTTTTTATTTTGATTAAATACTTTGGCGTGTTTAATTCTCTCTGGTTTCCACAGTGTTGACAAACTGGTGAAAATCTCTAGCGAGTAATTTTGGTCGCTCCATGGCTGCAAAATGTCCACCTACCAACTGATCGCTGAAAAATTTAAGATTAATGATGAGTGCCTTAATTATTGTTTTTCACACAATCATACAAAAATCTCAAATACTGCTGTTACCAATGCTAATAGGCTCATAGTGTTATCAGTGATTTAAAGACTAATGCAAGAAGACAAAATAATGGTGACAGGTGAAGAAACATAGTCATTTATTCATAATCTCTCTTTTTTAATGTATGCAATTTGTCTTAAAAATAAGAATTTAAAGATCAAAGAAATAATTCAGTAATGACTACTGAATGGATAAACAAGTAAAATCAGGAAAATACCGACCTGTAGCTGACAATATCATAGAACTTGTGAGCAATAAAGTTTTTCGGTTGGTTTAGGAGGTCGTGAGGGAAGGCAGACATGGCCGACGGTACACGACAAGGAATACTACAAGAAAGATAACAGACAACAATGAAACAATTAAATTCATAAACCAACAAAAATTGCCATTATAATAATCTTTTAAATTATCACCATAATGGTCATTACTAAAATTATCATTACTATAATCATTCATCATATAAAGCTGGCATCATAAAAAATACTGTAATTATCACTTTTATATCTGAATTATCATTGTTATAATCATACAGTGTAAAAAAACGAGAAAAAAATATATCATAATCTTGATATGAATTACCATTATCGTAACTACTCTTTGTAATTATTTGTATATGCATTATACAGTATATATTTTCCATACCTGTCAAGGTTGTTTGCCACGGCCTTTGGACTGAAGTTTTCAGCATAGTAACGCACACTTGTTGTGATGGAACCAGTGAACCTGCAATTATTCAACATTATTTACCTTCTCTTATCAGTAAGTATTAAATGATCACATCACACACACACACACACACACACACACACACACACATGACACACACACACACACACACACACACACACACACACACACACACACACACACACACACACACACACACACACACACACACACACACACACACACACACACACACACACACACACACACACACACACACACACACACACACACACACACACACACACACACACACACACACACACACACACACACACACACACACACACACACACACACACACACACACACACACACACACACACACACACACACACACACACACACACACACACACACACACACACACACACACACACACACACACACACACACACACACACACACACACACACACACACACACACACACACACACACACACACACACACACACACACACACACACATATATATATAACTTAAAAATGAAATTAAAAACAGGTGTGTCTAAGAAAGATAATCATTTCATAAATATATCAAAATGAGTAGCCATAATTTAAATTAAATAATGGATAACAACTGAAATATAAAGGACATTTCTTACCAATAAATGCAGATGTTATCCAAGATCTTGTCGATATCAATAGGGAAATGTTTGTGCAGAAGCCCCCCATTCACTTCTTTGTAATTATCTCTGTGAGTCCAAGAACTGAATTTCTCCATTATATATGCAGCTAAACTAACAGGGCTTTGGTTCAATGCTGCACCTGTAATTACATAAATTTCTCTCTTAGCAAAAGTTAAATTGGGGAAGAAGATGAAATGGATCAGAATAATTAAGATGAGACTGAGTGACAGAGAACAGAGAGTTTGTGAAAACTAAAGAGACTGAGTAAGAGAAAGTAATTAATAGGAGGAAGAACAAGAAACAAAGAGGAAATAGGAAAAAAATAAATCTTTACTTGTAGGTAAAAATGTTGAATATAATAGCAAAGTAAGAGAGGCTAATATTTTACTATTAACCATAATCCACAGTTAAAAAACATTACTTTTTTTCCATTTACTTTCTTACCGTCTCTCCCTTACCAATAGTATCTGGTTTTGTAGCCTGGATATGTAGATAGCCAGTCTCACGAGCAAACATGCCAAACTTTTCTGTTAAGGGATAGAGTTTTTCCTGGTCTTCATGAGATACCACAATGCCTGCTGGAAGAATGGCTCCCAGAATCAGCTTCAAATTAGGTCCTAGGCTGTTGGCCACAAACATGTTGAGATGGATACCCAGTATACTGTTGGGAAAATGGTAATCTTGTTAGTGCCAGCAGATGATTTATATTAGGTAAATTACAGATTATTACCACATAAATAAAGTAAAAAAATAAATAAATGAAACTAATACACACAATACAGCTCAATGAGCAGTATTGCCTTATAGTAGTTATAATCCTCTACAGACACAAAGATGGAAATAAAAACAATTTCTATGAGAGGTCCTTAAATTTCAACTGAGAGGAATTGTAATGCATTTCAGTCAAACTAAACTCACTTCTCAGGGTACATGGTAGCCATACTTGTTGCAATGATTGAGCCCCAGTCACCACCCTGAAGGTAGAACTGGTCATATCCCAGCCTTTTCATAAGCTTTAAGAATATCTGTGCTGTTTCCAAGTGGCTAAGACCTGAAAAGGAATATGAGCATGTCTTAGATATAAAAAAGGTATTTCTGGTAATCATCAAGCATTATATATTTCATGGCTTATTTTGATGATGAGATGGCATCATTTTACCTTGTTTAGCTGAGCCCTGAGAGAATCCATATCCTGGTATTGAAGGACATATAACTTCAAACACAACATTGCTGTCCTCCTGTGGTGTGGTCAAGAGAGGCATGATATCGTAAAATTCCACAAAAGTGCCAGGCCATCCATGTATAAGTAGGAGTGGTAGTACTTTTATATTCTTGGCACCCTTTGTCTGGGCACTACCTCGCATGAAGTGGATATCTAAACCTTCAATTTTGGTCCTGGAAAAGGGAAATAGGTACTAATACTAATAATACATATAAAAATGGATTGACCTTACCACTTCATGCAAAAGCACATACACAAACATAAATACACACATGTACACATACACATACACACACACGCACACATACACACACACTCATACATATATGCGCACATGCATGCTCTCACCCACAAAAACATATGCACACAGTATATATGAAAGACTGACATATTTCCCACATATCTAAATGTTCTTTACATATTAACAGTGACCACTTCTCAAGTATTCGAACTGGTGTTTTCATTAACAGCAACCATGACAAAACACCCAACAAAGTCTTACCCAACCATAAAACGAAACTTCTAAGACAACAGCACATGAACACAAAAACATGTCAGGAACACTAACATGAAATGAGGATAATAATTAAGAAGAGCTTCTCTCTTTCTCCAGTCGTATTTGAGTCGCCAGTGCTGCACAATCTCCTTCAGGGTATTCTGGTTCATCCCATAGGTGAAGTTGGCATTCTCAAGGGGGGGTGTGAGGCGTAGGGGCAAGGAAAGCCGAGCCTTCAGATCATCAAGGTCCTGAGTGGAAGTTTTTAAAAATTTAACTTTATGGGAAAACACACAAAGCGCTCTGTATTATGGTTAATAGAAATGACTTTTATTGGCACCTAAGAATGATTATGTATCTAGAATGAAAATAATAATTTGGTTAATACTAAAACTGTATACACTGGGTCAAAGATCAAGGTTTATATGGTATAAAAAAAAAAATAAAAAAAAAATTGATAAGATTAATTTTTTGACATGACAATACAGAACTATGTAGATATGATATGGCTTATCTAAAATGAAGAGATCTTCAAGAATATAAATAGACAAAAGATTAGATAAGCATATTCACAAATGTAGAAAAAAAAACTTTCTATAATTTCTTTAGTGAATAGAAAAGCAAATTTTCACGATACTTCTGAATCAATAAATACCATGCTCTCCATAGTCCTTATCATCTATTATTTAATTTATCTATCTAAATAACTATCTATCTATGCATCTATATACCTACCTACCTACCTGTCTACTTACCAGTCTATCTATCTATCTATCTTTCTCTCTTTCTCTCTCTCTCTCTCTCTCTATATATATATGTCTATTCATCTATTTATCTGTCTATCTATCTATATGTCTATTCATCTATCCATCAATCAAACTATCTATTTATCTGTCTATCTATCATCTATCTATATACCTATCTATCAGTTTCATACATAAACAAGTTTATCACTAGCATATTATTAAATAACTATAACTAACATATTATTAAATAACTATAACTAACATATTATTAAATAACTATAACTAACATATTATTAAAATAACATATATTAAAATATTATCAACCTTTCCAGTAAAAAGAAATTCACCTCTTCTAACTACTTCATCCAAATTTGTAAGTAAAAAAAATGTCAAAATTATCTTTTTGGAGAAAATTGTATACGTCATATTTATTTCCAACCTCGTTGGTGCAGTCAAACCTACCTGATTAGAAATGGCAATTTTGAAGTTCCTGACAGAATCATCTCCCTTCTCGCGCTCTCCGGGTCCCCACCATGGATCAGGATCGAGTTCTGGCATGGGAGATTCTGCCATGGACTTCTCTCTTATTTTGTAGAGCAAGGCCGCTATTACTATAGCCGCCGAAAAGAGTTTCATCCATGACATCTGTGGATAATGCAATAGTTTAGAATGAAACTGACACCGTACGTAAAGCTGTCCGTCTGACTAGACTATGGAAAATGCTCTACAGCAGGGTTGTTGAATTCATTTCCCCAAGTGAGCCACTTTCCACCACGTAATCACGAGTCGATGCAACGAATCGGCCAGGCGTAAAAAGGTAGAATGCTATTCCAACCATTAAAGAAACACAATAATAGAAATAAAAACTAGAAGTTTATGAGATAATATTTAAAGACGAAGAGCTGGCTTAATTAATAAATCACGTGCCTCAGGCTGAACATTGGAGTGTAGCAAGCAGTCGTGGGCCGCTTGTTTGCTTTACATACAGCGGCAGTGGTGTCAAACACGCAGCCCGTAACACACTTCCTATTTCAGTCTTACAGTCGGCCGTTTTACATGACTAATTAAGCCGGTCCTTCGTCTTTTAAGAATACCACCAACACTCTAACAGGTATTTCTATTATTGTGTTCTTTTAATGAATGAAATAGCCAATGGGTATCATACCACGGGCTAATTGTGTCTCCTGGGATGATTAAAATTATGATCGCCTTGAAAGAAAATAACGTCATATAACAATTTGTCACCATTAATATGACCATTTAAAATCTGATTAGTAAAATCAACTATATGTGAGGCACATGTTACCAGTTCTAGTAATGTAATATACGAGAAACCAGGTATGGCCCTCAGGATGATATTAGAAGGACCTATTATCATACAATGTGGACTTTTTAGTTGTAGGATATAACGTGTTCATTCTGGTATTCCCTGCAATGTTCATGACAGATAACAGGATTGTCGACTCTACACCGCCGTGAGATCGGAAGGATGGCTTTTGATCTGATATTAGCGATGAAAATTTCCGTACTAAGGGACCAGTAGTTATATATATATATATATATATATATATATATATATATATATATATATATATATATATATGTGTGTGTGTGTGTGTGTGTGTGTGTGTGTGTGTGTGTGTGTGTGTGTGTGTGTGTGTGTGTGTGTGTGTGTGTGTGTGTGTGTGTGTGTGTGTGTGTGTGTGTGTGTGTGTGTGTGTGTGTGTGTGTGTATATATATAATATATATATATATATATATATATATATATATATATATATATATATATATGTTTATGTATATATGTGTATATATATATATATATATATATATATATATACTGTATATATGTGAGTGTGTGTGTGAGTGTGTGTGTTTATAGATATAGAAATATATATATGCGCTTATATTTGTATATATATATATATATATATATATTATATATATATATATATATATATATATATATATGTGTGTGTGTGTGTGTGTGTGTGTGTGTGTGTGTGTGTGTGTGTGTGTGTGTGTGTGTATATATATATATATATATATATATATATATACATATATACATACACGCACGTTTCGCAGGGTTGGCAACCATCGGACTCTCTAGAGGGGTGGGCGGCAGATGGGTTTCTGCATCGTAACCGCAGCCAGCGGTTGCCCTCCCTTCGAGACCCACAACCCGTCTCCATTCATTTTATTCATCGCTAGTGGACACCTTTATTTGGGGCAATGCTAGCGAGTGTGACAGCGTTGCTAACCATCCCGTGTCTGCCTTGCTCTTTGCAGCATTATGGTCGACTACCACAATTATGGGGGTGATTAGAAACGGCTGAGAGTACAGGTAGGCATCATTGCACCAGCACGGTTATTAAGTGTGATTTCTCCAATCACTGACCAGGCCGCAGCAAAGGTCACCGTCTCCAGCGGGGTGTCATGTCCACCTACAGCAGAGTTCAGCTTTCCCTACGAGATTTAGGTCCAGGTAATAGGTATATAATCGTAACGAGATTTCAGCACTCGCTTAGCATTATGCCTCTTGATGTACACTCAACTAATATAATCTTGGCGTGAAAGAGATGATCTTAGGTTAAACTTCAGCTTCAGTGCAATAGCCGGGTGTAATCCAATTGGCCATGATGTCTGTCGGTCCCCTCGGCTTGGGAACTAGTGTCCACAGTCTCCTTTCTCTGCGAGATCGAGTACCTCTGGCTCCTGGTATTAGCACTCCAATCTGCATCGCTGGACCTCGCACAGAGTTGCAGATAATGTCACGGAGATCGATCACAACCTTGCCAGCACTCTTTAGAGGATTTTCCAGAAATGCACCATTTTCAGGTGTACATTTCTGTACCTTTTATAGATTGGCTAGTCTCCTGATCCACTTCAAAACCCCTTATCTGTTCAGTGAGCACCATAGTGTATTCCCCGGCTATCAGTAATAGTTATCGTGCTTGACAACTACACGGACCCTGTAGTACTGTGGGACGGCTTTAAGCACAAAGGAA